CCCCCCATCAGCCATCTTGCATAAAGTATATATTAGCAATGTCATATCCATATCATAAACATATTTTCATAGAGAATATAGAGTATAATGTCATACCCCATGTGTATGTTTGCTGCTTTGCAAATAGTACAGGAGCATGCACCTTTGGGTTGAAAAGTTCATGACAATAGTGCAGAGCCATGCAAGCTCCATGATTCTGTGTGAGATGGCAGATAGTGAGGAAGGCCAGGCAGGTTTGTGGGTTTAGAAAAAAAGGTGTAAACATTATGTATACGTGTATGTATCAGATACATATAAAATTAGTGTATAGTTAACAATGCATTATGAGAAGTTGGATCCCCTGGTCACAACCACCCCTGGTACCCAGCATACACTGCCAAACCAAAGCTTCCCAAAATACAGTGGGTGGACAGTGGGATATCTATTCATGGTGCACCTCACTATGAATCTATACAAGTGCTTCTGGTGAGTACCCTGACTGCTGAGACAAGGAGTCCAGGAGGCATGCACACAAGTGACATAGTAACGGTAGTGAAGCTATGCTGACATAACTTGAGTTAACACACGCTTAAAGTGTAGATATGGCCTTAGGTATCTGAAATGTTTGGGAGAGGTAACAGGAACTGTATGAGGGCAGACTAAGATTCATTCAGCTGTTTAGGCTCAAGGCATGGAACTGGCCTTACTGCACCCTACAGGCTCAGGAACAAAGAGGCACATAAATAAAAGATATCATGTATTTATTAAAATTTCTTGACTTCAGGGTGTATAACTCATGATTTTAGAATTCTTGTGGTTGTAAAGGTATCTTGGGGTTGTAGATGTGTGGTCATTATATTTTGAAAGGCAAAACTATGAATGGGTTGAACAAATAATTAGATCAGTCCCTCAGGATAAGTACATCGGCTATTAGCCAAGATAATCAGGGATGCAGGCCCATGCTCTGCATGTCCCTAAACTGCCAGATGCTGGGAGTGGACAAAGGGATGGTTCACTGAGGGATTGCCTGGTCTGATCATTCCCTTAGAAGCTCCTGGCATTGGCCGCTGTCACAAGACAGGATACTAGTGTGACGGGTTGGATCACAGAAACCCCCTTGGGAACTGCCAACTGATGTGCCAAGACTACTTCTGTCCCTGCTTTACCTGCCAGCTCAGGACCCCAGCACCCTGTCTTGCTGAGCCAGATACGCCAGTCTGCTCCAACACAGACCCAGGGTCTGAATTACTTGCCCCAAAGCTGCAGACTTAACTGAAAGCAGCTAACAGAAGTGTTCCTGCCTTTAACACTCAGATGCCCAACTCATAAATTGTTTGCCCTCTATAACACTGATAGAGAGTTATGTACAGCCATTTGCCCCCCCCCCCGCAGGTATTAATACATACTCTGAGTTAATTAATAAGTAAAAAGTGATTTTATTAAATACAGAAAGTAGGATTTAAGTGGTTCCAAATAGTAACAGACAGAACAAAGTGAATTACCAAGCAAAATAAAATAAACACGCAAATCTAAACCTAATGCAGTAATACAACTGAATACAGGTAAAATCTCACCCTTAGAGATGCTTCAATAAGTTTCTTCACAGACTGGACACCTTCCTAGTCTGGGCACAATCCTTTCCCCTGGTACAGCTCTTGTTCCAGCTCAGTTGGTAGCTAGGGGATTCCTCATGATGGCCTCTCCCCTCCCTTTGTTCTGTTCCACCCACTTATATATCTTTTGCATAAGGCAGGAATCCTTTGTCCCTCTGGGTCCCCACCCCCTTCTCAATGGAAATGCACCAGGTTAAAGATGGATTCCAGTTCAGGTGACATGATCACATGTCACTTTAAGACTTCATTACCCACATTCCAGCACACACATATACAGGAAGACTCACAGGTAAAACACAGCCATCTGCAGACAATGGTCCTGGTTAATGGGAGTCATCAAGATTCCAAACCATCATTAATGGCCCACACGTTGCATAATTACAATAGGCCCTCAGAGTTAGATTTCATATTTCTAGTTTTAGATACAAGAATGGTTCATTTATACAAATAGGATGATCACACTCAGTAGATTATAAGCTTTGTAATGATACCTTACAAGAGACCCTTTGCATGAAGCATATGCCAGTTACATTATATTCACTCATTAGCATATTTTTATAAAATCATATAGAGTGCACAACGTCACAACTAGATTAGGCAAACTATTGGTCTAACCCACGATGGCAGTTCTAATTTTCAGCAAAAATTACAATCGATTTTTTTTCCAGGGAGAAAGATGTTATAGGAGGTAGCATACTGCCTTTATGAGAATCAAGTCGTACACACAAGCAATGGCATGCGGAAAAACACTAAGAGCTGGACTGAGAGGCAAAATACCAGTTGCAAAAATGCAATCCCCATTGGTGGCTTGAATCAAAACAAAGTTTTGACACTAGGCCAGAAATTCAGTCAGACTGGAAGTCAGGTGATCCAACAGAATAAACATCTGCTCTACAAATAAGAAGAAAAAATTAGAATTAAAAATTCTGGGAATTCAGGGAATCACAGCAGCAGCAAAGACAACTTGGGAAACTGCTAGGAAACTCTATGCAATCAGATACAGTGATAAGGGATTCTTTGTTTCTGAGGAGATATATGTAAAATGTTTCACTGAATTAAGTCTCAGGGATTATCTACACTAGCAAGTTAAAGCACTCTAATTTGCTGGCTCAGGGGTGTGAAAAATCACACACACACCCGAGCACAGCAAGTTTGAACACTTTAAAGTGCTATTGTGGAGAGGCTCAGCTCCCAGTGCTCGGCTCGGAGCTAATCCCCTCGTCGAGGTGGATTACCAGGAGCACTGGCTCCCGCGGCAGCGCTTTGAACTTTGTAGTGTAGACATAGCCTCAGTAGATTAGATCAGACAAAGAGGAGCTGCATTTACTAGGCATTGGGATGCCTGTGCCTTTAAGAACCCAGCCCTGGGAAGCCTATGCTGAGAGGTGCTGTCTGTGGGAGGGGAAATAAAAAAGCCCCTCTGCCCCCCCCTATTTTTGCAAACACGGGTGTCTCAGTCCCACTACGGTAACTGCTACCCCTTGTGCCCCTGCCTGTGCTGGGTTTTGCCCTCTGACACCCTCTGCCAGTGCCTCACCCTGAGCTTAACTCCGCCTCCTCCCCCCAGCCCTGATTTTGCCCTTTAGCCCCTCTCCTAATCCTGCCTCCAGCTGCTTGACTACCCCCCCGACCAGTCCATTTCCGCCCCCTGCTCAGACCCTGGCCACCCCCCTGCTCCGATTCGCCCCCTTTGCCACTTTTTAACCTCTGTTAATAGCAGTCAGCAGAATTTTATGGCTAATAAGGGCAGGGTGAAGGGCAGTGGCTTCAGGAGATGTTACTGAGCATGCTCAGTACATGTGCCCGTACGAAAAAGCCACTTTGCTCAAATAGAAAACCTCTCGTCTCCCTCCCCTGCAACAAACTATTTTTACAAACACTGGTGTCTCAGTGCCATGGGGTAACTGTTACCCCCTGAGCCCCGCCTGTGCCAGGTTTTGCCCTCTGTCACCCTCTGCCAGCGCCTCACCCCTGGTCTTAACTCCTCCCCACCCCCCAGCCCTGATTTTGCCCTTTAGTCCCTCTCCTAATCCATCTGGCAAGCAGGGAATCCCCAGGGGGGCAGCCAAGGGGAGGAGCCCCAAGGGAGGCTGTATATATGGGGCTGGAGCTCTGGGGCTGGGGCAGTGTGGACGGGACAATGGCTTCACCCGCAGCCACATGCATCCTGGCCTGGGCCCTGGCACTGCTCTGCGTGGGGACCCAGGGTAAGGGAGGCAGGGGCTGTCTTGGGTCGGTGTGTGTTGGTGTGTAGTGTGGTAGAGTGTGTGGCTATGCAGCAGGGTATTGGTGTGTAGTAGAGTGTGTGTTGTGGAGCAGTGTGTAATGTTGTGTAGTAGAATGCATGTTGTGGAGCAGTGTATTGTGTAGTAAAGTACATGTTGTGGGGCAGTGTGTTGTAGTGGGCATGTTCTGAAGTGGTGTGGTGTGTAGTGGAGTAGAGTGCAAGTTGTGGAGCAATATGTTGTGGTGTGAAGCAGTGTGGTGTTGTGTAGTGTAGTAGAGTGCATGTTGTGGAGCAGTGTGTTGTAGTGCAGTGCAGTAGTGTGTTGTGTAGTGGAGTGCATGTTGTGTAGTGTAATAGAGTCTGTACTGTGGAGCAGTGTGTTGTAGTGTAGTAGAGTGTGTGCCTCTGCAGCAGTGTGTTGGTGTGTAGTGTAGGAGAGTGTGTGCTGAGGAGCAGTCTGTCATTGTGTAGCTGTAAAGTGTAACAGACCATGTTGTGGAGCAGCATGTTGTGTTGTGGAGCCGTATGGTGCTGTTCAGGAGACTGTTTTGTTGTGAAGTGTAATACACTGTGTGTTATGGAGCAGTGTGTTGTTTGCTAATATCGTGGTGTGGGGGTTGTGGCGTAGTGGATGCTGTGTGGCAGTGTGTGTGTGCTGTGGGACACGCTGTCATTGTGTAGAGTAGCACAGAGTGTTTTGTGAAGTGGTGCGAGACATACCAGCCTGGCAGGAGGTCTGAGTTGGACAGCAGGAGTCCTGACTCCCAGACACCCCTTCCCTGAGCCAGAGAGAGAACCCAGGAGTCCTGTCTCCCAGCCACCACCCCCCCACACTCTAACTACTAGACCCCCCCTTCCCTCCCTGAGCCGTGGCTAGAACCCAGGCATCCTGACCCCCGGCCCAGGGCTCTCCTTGCTAGGCTTTGAGGGCCCCCCTCCCGGCAGCCATTGTCCCCTTTTCTGATCTCTGCACCTTGTTCATGGCCAGGGGCGGACCCTGCCGCCTGCGTCTTCCCCTTCACCTACAAGGGCAAGGTCTACACGGACTGCACAACCGAGGACAGTGACCGGCCCTGGTGCGCTACCACTGCCAACTACGACCAGGACAAGGCCTACAGGTTCTGCTCCGAGGAGGGTGAGCGCCCAAGGGTGGCACAGGGACAGGACGGGGGGACAGCCGGGGGACTGGATGGGAGGGAAGCCAGGGGATGGGGATGGGACAGAGGCAGCCGGGGGATGGGATGGGGACGGGGGGCAGCACCGGGCAGCATGGAGGAGCGTCATGTTCCCTGTTTGTGATCCCACACGTCCAGAGCTAGCGGGTCTGGCCCATGTCCAGGTGCTCAGCCACCGTCTTCCTGACACCCGCCCCAGCGACATCTCCAGAGCTGAGCAGGGCAGAGCCACCCAGTTGCTCTGTCTGTCTAGCCCAATCCACCCCCGCCCATCTGTCTGTCTGTCTATGGGTCAGACCCTTGCAGGGTGGCAAGACGGTCCCCATCTCTGGTGGGTCTTACCCCCCCCCAGGCTCTGCCCAGGGTGGGGTGAAGGATCCGCACCCGTCTGCGCTGCCCTCAGGGTGTCCCACCCCCTGACGGTCCCTGTCTGTGTCTCCCCCCAGCCTACGGCGGGAACACGGACGGCGAGCCCTGCTTCTTCCCCTTCGTGTACCAGGGCCGCACCTTCCACACCTGCACCACTGAGCAGAGCCATGGGGCCCAGTCCTGGTGCTCCACCACAGCGAACTACGACACGGACAGCCGCTGGAGCTACTGTCCCGACACAAGTATGGTGCCTCCGGGGGCTCCCCAGCCAGGGGTCATGAGCAGGGGAAACAGCCACACCCAATGTCTCCACACGCACCCAGCCCTGCCGGTGCCCTTCACTCCTGACCTGCAGCCTGTGCTACCCCAGCCCTGGGCTCCCCTCCCATACAGCTCTGTCAGTGCCCCATAACCCATTCCCCCATTCCCTGCACTACTCTGGGGTGGTTGAGGGGCAGTGGTCAGGCTGCTGGGGGGCTCGGGGAGGTGAGGGGTTTTATTTAACTGAAAATGGGCTCAACTTGGTCTAGAAGGTGGATAGAAAGCTGGCTAGATCGTCAGGCTCAACGGGTAGTCATCAATGGCTCCATGTCAAGTTGGCAGCCGGTATCAAGTGGAGTGCCCCAAGGGTCGGTCCTGGGGCTGGTTTTGTTCAATAGCTTCATTAATGATCTGGAGGATGGCGTGGACTGCACCCTCAGCAAGTTTGCAGATGACACTAAACTGGAAGAAGTGGTAGATATGCTGGAGGGTAGGGATAGGATACAGAGGGAACTAGACAAATTAGAGGGTTGGGCCAAAGGAAATCTGATGAGGACAAGTGCAGAGTCCTGCACTTAGGACGGAAGAATCCCATGCACTGCTACAGACTAGGGACCGAATGGCTAGGTAGCAGTTCTGCAGAAAAGGACCTAAGGGTTACAGTGGACGAGAAGCTGGATATGAGTCAACAGTGTGCCCTTGTGGCCAAGAAGGCTAATGGCATTTGGGGCTGTATAAGTAGGGGCATTGCCAGCAGATCGAGGGACGTGATCGTTCCCCTCTATTCGACATTGGTGAGGTCTCATCTGGAGTACTGTGTCCAGTTTTGAGCCCCACACTACAAGAAGGATGTGGAAAAATTGGAAAGAGTCCAGCAGAGGGCAACAACAATTATTAGGGGGCTGGAGCATATGACTTATGAGGAGAGGCTGAGGGAACTGGGATTGTTTAGTCTGCAGAAGAGGAGAATGAGGGGGGATTTGATAGCTGCTTTCAACTACCTGAAAGGGGGTTTCAAAGAGGATGGATCTAGACTGTTCTCAGTGGTAGCAGATGACAGAACAAGGAGTAATGGTCTCAAGTTGCAGTGGGGGAGGTTTAGGTTGGATATTAGGAAAAACTTTTTCACTAGGAGGGTGGTGAAGCACTGGAATGGGTTGCCTAGGGAGGTGGTGGAATCTCTTTCCTTAGAGTTTTTTAAGGTCGGGCTTGAAAAGCCCTGGCTGGGATGATTTTGTTGGGAATTGGTCCTGCTTTGAGCAGGGGGTTGGACTAGATGACCTCCTGAGGTCCCTTCCAACCCTGATATTCTATGATTCTGGTTTGAGTGTGAGCCACGTTACCCAGCATGCTCTCTGTCTCTTGTGTCTCCCACATCCCATCTCTTTCCCCCGTCCCATCTCTCCCAGTGCTTGGCGGGAACTCGCAGGAGCCCTGTACGTTCCCATTCAGCTACAAAGGCAGGAAGTACACGGCTTGTACCATGGACAATGGGCAGCGGCCCTGGTGTGCCACCACGAGCAACTACGAAGCAGACCATACATGGAGGTACTGCGGCATGGCAGGTACGTGGGGCCAGGAGAGGCTAAAGGGATGGGTTTGCTTTGCAGCTCGTATGTACACAGACTGTGGGGGGCATGGCCCAATGGAGAGAGCACAGGAGAGGGAATCAGGACACATGGGTTCTATTCCTGGTTTTGGCTCTGTGTCTAGTCAGCACCTGGCATGACGGGGCCCAATCTCAGTGTGACGGAGTAGGGAGTGGGGCCGATTGACCTGGGAATGTTGCGTGGGAGTTTTACTGGGACTGTCTGCATTGGTGATGGGGATATCAGGGTGTGACTTCATTTGAGGGACGATACCTGAGCATGTAACCTGAGCCCAGGAAGGGGGTTGAGGTGATCAGAGACTGACCCGCTCCCCAAACCAAAAAGCAGATCCAAGCCTTTATTGGGATGGTGGGGTACTATAGAAGATTTGTACCCTACTTTAGCTCCATAGCCGCCCCCATCACGGAACTATGCAAGAAGGGGAAGCCAGACAAGGTGGTTTGGACCGAGCAGTGCCAGAGGGCTCTCTGCAAGCTGAAGGAAGCTCTGGTCAGCAGCCCAGTTCTGGCAAACCCAGACTTTGACAAGCCCTTTATGGTGTTCACCGACGCCTCGGACACGGGGCTGGGTGCGGTGTTAATGCAGGATGATGAAAAGGGGGAGAGACACCCCATCGTGTCCTTGAGCAAGAAGTTGCTACCCCGGGAGCAAAACTACGCAGCCATAGAGAAGGAATGCCTGGCCATGATGTGGGCCCTTAAGAAACTAGAGCCATATCTCTTTGGGCGACACTTCACTGTGTACACTGACCACTCTCCCCTGACCTGGCTATACCAGATGAAAGGAGCCAATGCCAAGCTCCTGAGGTGAAGCCTGCTCCTGCAGGATTATGACATGGAGGTGGTCCATGTGAAGGGAAGTGCCAATATGATAGCTGATGCACTGTCCCGGAAACGGGGACCTGAACTTCCCCAGGTCACTGGTTAGAGTGACCCCACTCAATTCAGTCTCGAAGGGGGGAGAGGTGTGATGGAGTAGGGAGTGGGGCAGATTGACCTGGGAATGTTGCGTGGGAGTTTTACTGGGACTGGCTGCATTGGTGATGGGGATATAAGGGTGTGACTTCACTTGAGGGACGATACCTGAGCACGTAACCTGAGCCCAGGAGCGGGGTTGGGGCCAGGTGACACCTTTGCCCAGGAAACTGGACAAAGGTTGGAGGAGGAGCTGGGGGGAGGCTGGGGGAGATGGCTGGAGGGGGTTTTCAGTTTGGAGCTGGCTGGGGAAATGGAGGCAGCCCCGGGGCTGGGGTCTAAGCTCCTTACTCCGAAGATGGACCTGACGGAGGGGGTCCTGTTGTCTGTACCTACAAGCTCTGTTTTGGACCATGTTCCTGGCATCTAATAGACCTTAGAATCATAGAATCATAGAATATCAGGGTTGGAAGGGACCTCAGGAGGACCTTCTGTTTTACTGGCTGGCTGAGAGTCACGGTGAATCACAGGAAGTGGGGGGTGCAGATCCCTGACTCCCCCACACTTCCTGACACTCAGTGACTGTGTCTGGATGTGATGGAGCAGGGGAGTTACATTGGGGATTGGGGGCTGCCTTTGCAGGGAGATACCTGAGCTGTAACCTGAGCCAGGAGGGGGGTTGGGAGAAATAACACTTTCTGCCTGGGAGACGGAACAAAGGAGAGGAGGGCAGAGGGAAGGGGGAAAAAGCTGCTGGAGGGTTTTGGTTTTAGTTTCCTGTTTGGGCTGGGTGGTGCAACGCAGGAAACCCCAAACTGGGGTCTAAGCTCCCTGAACCCCCCAGAAAGACTTAATTGAAGGGTCCGGGTTGTACCTACAAGCTCTGCTGTAGACTGCGTTCCTATTGTCCAATAAACCTTCCGTTTTACTGGCTGGCTGAGAGTCACGGTGAATTTCAGGAAGAGGGGTGCCGGGCGCTGACTCCCCCACACTCCGTTACACTGGGCAATGCTCTATACTACTCTGGGGGATTTTAGTGTCACCATTACTGTGGTATTTGAATGGTCAAACAAAATGAGTGGACAAGAAGCAGTCATTTGTATATAGGTCCTGTAGGAGCAAGGAACATCTCAGTGCCCATATTGAACCACACCAAAATTTTGCCCAGTGCTGCCGATCGACACCTTGGATCTTTTTCCTAGCCTAGAAATATTTTTGGGAATTCAACATTTTCCCCCTCTGGGATTAGAGGTGGGGGGAAATGAAACCTTGAAAATATTCATGAACTGAAAAGCCAAACTCTCTTTCAGTTCGGCTCAGTTGAAAAGTTTCATTTTGAAATGTTCTGTTTCTATTTCAACCTTTTTTCTTTTTTAACATTTTTTTACTGTAGTTAGCTTAAATTTCTGTAACCAACCTGGCAAAGGTTTCTGCCAACCTTTCAGGGCTGGCAGCAACAAGGGCCGGGTTCAGTACATAGGGGTTCCTTTTCGACAATACAACACAAAACCGTCTCGAGCCCCCACCCAGTGACCTGGGACAATTACACACCACCCCCTGGGCGCCCCTAAGAGCCAAAACTTCCCCTCTTGCAAGCACAGAGTCTGAGTGTAGAAAAGAAACTTTTAATAAAAGGAGGGAAGTAACTCTACATTAATTTGGGAAAACACCACAAACAGGGTTCATAAACATAAACCATGAGCAAAAGACCCACCCCCAACTAAGTTGGGCCGTGTCCTTTTCCCCTCAAGGTCTTAAGTCCAGCAACAAAAAGTCCCTTTAACATGCCCATCTCTTCTCTGCACCCACTCACAGTTGCTGTCCTTGGCCAGTGCAGACCTAGAGTTCAGAGGTGCATCTGCAGAGTTCACCTCCTACCCTGGGTGGAAGGAGGGTGGGTAAGGAGTCACCTTACTTGCTCCACTGCTCAGGCACTCACTCGTCGCCCCTCTCTGCGGGGCTCTGCTCTGGCCCTCTCCACCAGCTGCCCTGCTGGCCACTCGCTAAGATGTCTTCAGGGCCCACCACTTAACACAGCTCTCAGTGATTTCAGCTGTTAGTGGGGGAGCCTCACTTCTGGTGCACATGGGTCAGTCTCTTGCATCAGAGTCACTGTCCCAAAGCAAGTCTAATACCTAGACCGAGGTATCAGTGACTTCAGCTCTGCAGCATGTAACAAAACTCTCAATTGAGTCTAAATTAGCTCTTTTATTATACCATGGAGAGAGGATGGGTCAAAGAGTGTCTGGGGCCCTTGGGCACAGTCCACACAAACACCTGTCCCCACCTTCTCTCAGTTTATTGGGCTTTGGAACCCATGTCCCCTGCCTAGTGAGTGCTGTTCCGTTGAGGGTATGCCAGGTACAGTTCTGCTGCCCTCGGTTCACACAAGGATAGCAATCCTTTATTACTCCTGCCCCAATAACAAGGAGGCTGGGGATCCCACACCAGCCAAAAGTGACCATTTGGGCCAGCAATCACATCATGCTGAGCACCTAGGCAGCGTGGGTGTGTCCATGCAAACAAGATCAGCTTCTGAAGTCATATTCCACAGCTCACCACTAGATGTCAGGGGAGAGCTCATTCAGACTCTGCTTACATTTCAAAACAAAAAGGCGCTCCCAACCCAGAACCCAGATTTTTTTTTTCCATTTCAAACACGTCTAAACATTTCCACGCTTTTTTCCCCTCTACATTTTTTTCAAGTCGGGAAATGCGTCAAAACCAGCAACATTCATCAAAATGCTCAAACACTTTTGATTCCCATGAATTGGCATTTTTTTCCACTTAAAAATAATGTTTTGTTGGGAAAATTCGTGCCCAGTTCTCGCAGCAAATCGCCTGCCCTGCGTCCTGCCTTCTGCCCTGTCTTAACCCTTTCCTCCCTTGCCTCTTTCTCCACCAGCTGCAGGGGGAAATTTGGACAGCTCCCCTTGCGTCTTCCCTTTCATCTATAAGGACAAGATCTACCACAGCTGTGTGGCAGTCGATGACAAGATGGGAAGGCCCTGGTGTGCTACCACTCCCAACTATGACAAAGACCATCTCTGGCGCTTCTGCTTGAGCAAGGGTGAGTTCTGGTTGTGACCAGAGTGCTCTGTGTCGGCACAGAGGGAAAGGGTCTGTGGAGGACGTGCCGGTACGTGGAGTTCTAGCACAGGGGGTGCTGTCACCCAGTCTTGCGGGCCAAATGAGCTTCCTGGTGGGGCTGCATGCTACAAATGGCTTCCCCAGTGCAGCCAGATTGCCTGGCATCTCCTTGTGATGCGGCTGTCAGAGATGGGAGGCCATTGCTAGGCTAGATAGGCCCCTGGGGTGATCCCATGCTCCTAGGCGCAACGCCATTCACCCACTGTACAAAATTATCTTCGTTTCACCGCAGCAGTGAGATGAGACACCCCGGCTTTTCTTTTTTGCTAACAAAACGGCCATGATGGTCATTCTCTTTGGCATTCACTCTGATTAACTCATTGCCTTTGCAGCCTATGGGGGGAACTCCAGTGGCAAGCGCTGCACGTTTCCTTTCATCTACAAAACCGAGCTATTTCACAGCTGCACGAATGCTGGAGACAAGATGGGACATTTCTGGTGTGCCACAACCCAGAACTACAACCAGGATAAGCAGTGGAGCTACTGTCCAGATATCAGTAATGTATCCAGTCTCTTTGTATATTCCCTCTGGGGCAGATCTGGTTTTCTGGTGATTCTGAAAAATCAGGCTAGGGGACGAGCTTGTCATGGATTGCCATGAAAATGAATTTTTTGAAATTGTCAGTGAATCAAAAAATTGGGAGGGGGAGATAATTTCAGGTAGATCATGAAAGTTCATTTTTTTTAAAATTGTCATTTCATTGCAAAGTCAGAAAAATGGTTTTGAGTGTATTCCTATAATGAAATTTCTGAAATTTGCAGAGAGTTAAAAAAATTAGAAAACGTTTGTCTTGGGTTGTCCAGAAAATGAAACATTTCACAGTTTTTAATTAATCAAAAAAATTGGGGGACAATGTGTTTTGGGAGGATCCCAGAAACAAATTTGTTTGTAATTTTCTATCATTTGAAAGATCGGGGGAAAAAAACATTTTGGGTGGATCCTGGAATTGAAATTTTCTTCAATACTTATTGTGAATTAAAAAATCAGGAAACAAAATTGTTTTGGGTGGATCCCAAAAATGAATTTTTAAAAATTTTCATTGAACTGAAAATTTAAGGAAAAAAATCCCTTTGGGTTTAATGGAACATTTCATTTCAATTTTGAGCATTTTTAAAACTTTCTAAATTTTGGTTTTAATAAAATAGAAGGAGATTTTGAAAGCAGATGTTGTTTCAAATTGAAGAATCGACTCTTTCTGAATTTTTGGTCATTTTTCCAACATGAACAATCCCTCACTACACATTTTGGCTTCACCGAATCTGTACTTTTTGCCAAAAACATTTAATCTGAAAAGTTTCATCAACCTCTATTTGCCAAGTTACCCAGGCGCCTCCAGATCTCCTGTATGATCTCATCACCTCTCTGCTGTGCCCCTGAGCCAATGAGGAGTTGTGACACTTTAGTACCAGTGGGAGTTGGGCAGTGGGAGTCTACCTGATTGGTGGGTGGGATCCTGGCTTACAACACGCCCCTCCTAGCAGCTGAATGAGCCTCTAAGGATTCCTTCAGGAAAGGTTCAAGGCCAGGGTCAAGGAGCAGCCATAGAATCAGATCCAGAAGCGATAGAGTCAGTGGGTTTTGGGAAGCCAGATTCCTGTTGGCCCTCCTGGAAGATGCTTTAGCCATGATGATGTCTTCAAATCCAGACCGGATGCCGTTCTAGAAGATACTTGAGTGAAACCCAAGTTATTGGGTTCAACACAGAGAGAATTGGGGAACATTCACTGGCCTGTGTTCCACAGGACTTCAGACTAGATGATCCCAGTGGTCCCATCTGGTCATGGAATCTATGAATCCATGAAAACTTACCTGAGATTTCTTGGCTGTTGGTGATGAGTGGCTGGGTCATAGTGAGATGCGGGAGCTGTTAGTCCATAGGCAGGTGAACGTGTTGGCGGTGTCTATAACCAGCTCCCCTTGCATCCCTAGTTCTGGGTGGGAACGCGCCAGGAAAGAGCTGTGCGTTCCCCTTCATCTATAACAAACAAGTGCACTACACCTGCACCAGCGACGGGGAGAGCTCGGGAAAACTGTGGTGCAGCACCACCGGGAATTATGACGTGGACAAGAAGTGGACTTACTGCTCCACGCCAGGTAGGACAGGGGACGGAGGAAGCTGAGCCTTGTGGTTAAGGTGTTTGGCTCATCGAGGTCTGGGTCAATTCCTGGCTCTTTCATAGACTCCTTGAGTGAGTCAGTTAGGAAGTGGTTGGTTGGTTTTTTGGTCCCCACCCCGTCCCTTAGGAAATGCTGAGCAACCTGAAGTTCATGGGTAGCAGCTGTTCAGCAGTTCTTAAAACCATCCCCCAAATCGCCCTAGAGCGGTGGGGCTCCTTCTATTGGCTGTTTAGATTGGCAGCACGTTGAGACAGGGACTGTCCATCTCTATCTGTCTGGGCAGCACCTGGCACAACCCCGATCTCGGTGATTTTGTGTCTGGGCAGCGCCCGGCGCAACGAGGCCCCAATCTCAGTGACTCAGTGTCTGGGCAGCGCCTGGCGCGATGGGGCCCTGATCTCAGTGACTCTGAGGCTAGTATCTACAGGCCTTGACTAATGCACGTAATAACCACAGAGGATGTACCCCAAAAACACATCTGGGGTGTGGCTGTGTCTAACCACCTGTGTGTGTATAAACTGGCTAAATGGATTTCCCACGGACCCACAAACCACCTAACACATTTTGCATATGCAACCCCCAACTGCACAGTTGGGGTTTTTTTGCCTGTCCCCTTGGCATCTTTGGCTCATTAGCCCCATGTTGCAGAAGTGGGGAAACTGAGGCATGGAACTGGGCTGTACCTTGCTAAAGGTCACCCAGCAGAGCCAGGCATAGCACCCAAATCTCTCATTCCTCAGCCTGGCGCCCTGTCATGGGGCCGCGCTCTCTCCCCTAGCCCTAAGCTGCATGGGGAACCATCTAACAAAGTGTTTGCTTCTGTTGCTGTGTTTGGTCTGCAGACTACGACAAGCCCTGTGTCTTCCCCTTCATCTACAAGAAGTTTAAATTCCACACCTGCACCAACCTGGCAGAGGACAGTGGGAAGTTCTGGTGTTCCAGCACAGACAACTATGACCGGGACCATCAGTGGAGCTACTGCCCTGCCTAAGACAGGTAGGACAGGGCAATGGGATGGTCTCTGTTTATAGAATCCCCATCTGGACCAGGTGTGTGTGTGATGGGTTCTGTCACAGAGATCCCCTTGGGACTGTCACCTGATGTGCTGAAATTACCTCTGAGCCCATTTTCCTGCCAGCTTGGGACTTCCAGAACCCTGACTTGTTGAGCCAGACACGCTAGCCTGCTGCAAACACAGACCCAGGGTCTGGGCCACACCCCCAAAGCTGCATACTTAACTGAAAACAGCTCAGCAGGTACTTGTCTCCAGCTCCCAGACACCCAACTCCCAGTGGGATCCAAACCCCAAATAAATCCATTTTACTCTGTATAAAGCTTATACAGGGTAAATTGGTAATTGTTTGCCCTCTGTATCACTGATAGAGAGATATGCACAGCTGTTTGCTCCCCCAGGTATTAATCACTTACTCTGGACTTATTAATGAAAAAAATGATTTTATTGAGTATAAAAAGTAGGATTTAGGTGGTTTCAAGTAATGACAGACAGAACAAAGTAAGTCACCAGGCAAAATAAAGCAAAAACACGCACATCTAAGGCCTAATACATTAAGAAACTGATTACAGGTAATATCTCACCCTCAGAGATGTTCCAATAAACTTCTTTCACAGACTAGACTCCTTCCTAGTCTGGGCCCAATCCTTTCCCCTGGTACAGTCCTTGTTAGTTTCAGCAGACATCTCAGATGGTAAGCAGGGGGTTTCTCATGACTGGCAACCTCTTTTGTCCTCCTCCCCTTTTATAGCTTTGGCACAAGGCAGGAATATTTTGCCTCTCTGGGTCCCCACCCATCCATCTAAATGGAAAATTACCAGATTGAAGATGGATTTCATTATCAGGTGACATGGTCACATATCACTGTAAGACCCCTAGTCTCCATTCCCCATGGGCTCGCCCACACGTACACAGGAAGGCTTTCAAGTAACTAAGGCCATTTACAACTGATTGTTTCTGGAGCATCCTTAATGGCCTCCACTTAATATGTTTACATCAGTGATTCAAGTTTATATCTTATTCTCCTAACTCCAGATATAGCAATAATACATGCAAACAAATAGGATGAACACACTTAGTAGATGACAAGCTTTCTAATGATATCATACAAGGGGTATTTAGCATAAAGCATATTCCAGTTATGTCATATTCATAAGCATATTTCCATAAAGCATGTGGAGTGCAACATCACAGGATGATCCTCCTTCTTTTGTCTGTTTACACTGGGAACTTTTCCAGGCAGGGACTGTCTGCAACACCCGGTTCAAGGGGACCCCGATCTCTGTGACTCTGTGTCTGGGTGGCGCCTGATGTGATGGGGCCCCAATCTGAAGACTCTGTGTCCATCCATCTATCATTACATGCATCCATCCATCTTTCCCCATACACACCCATCCATACATTCCCATACACATCCATCCACCCACTCATACATCCCTATCCACAGTCACCCATCCAACCATCCCCATACACATCCACCAAACACCCAACTATGGAATCATAGTGATAGACGATTGGAAGGGACCTGAAGAGCCCAGCCCCCCCCCCCCCACCTGACACATGCTGAGGCAGGACGAAATATACCTAAACCATCTCTGGCAGGTGTTTGTCCAACCTCCAATGATGGGGATGCCACAACCTCCCCTAGGTAACCTGCTCCAGAGCTGAACTATCTGTAGAGCTAGCAAGTTTTTCCTAGTATCTAACCTAAATCTCCCTAGCTGCAAACTCAGCCAATTCCTCCTTGTCTCTCCCTTGGTGGCCATGGAGAACAATTGTTCTCCATCCTCTTTCTAGCAACCTTTCACATATTTGAAGACTGTTATCAGGTTCCCCCCTCAGCCTTCTCTTCTCAAGACTCAACCTGCCCAATTTTTTCAACCTCCCCGCCTAGGTCAGGTTTTCTAAACCTCTGATCATTTTGGTTGCTCTTCTCTGGACTCTCTCCAATTTGCCCACATCTTTCTTCAAGTGCAGTATCCGAAACTGGACACTGTCCTCCAGCTGAGACCTCACCAATGCCAACTACAGCAGGACAATGACATCCCATGTCTGACACACAACGCTCCCATTAATACACCTCAGAATTATGCAACAGAGGGTCCCGTGGCACCTTTAAGACTAACAGAAGTATTGGGAGCATAAGCTTTCGTGGGTAAGAACCTCACTTCTTCAGATGCAGGTAATGGAAATCTCCAGAGGCAGGTATAAATCAGTGTGGAGATAACGAGGTTAGTTCAATCAGGGAGGGTGAGGTGCTCTGCTAGCAGTAGAGGTGTGAACACCAAGGGAGGAGAAACTGCTTCTGTAGTTGGATAGCCATTCACAGTCTTTGTTTAATCCTTTGTTTAATCAGAATTATATTTTCCTTTTTCACAACGTCACCGTGCTGTCAACTCATATTCAATTTGTGATCCATACTAACCCCTAGATCCTTTTCTGCCGTCCCACTGCCTAGCCAGTGATGTGGTGCTGAAGGTCTGTCCTTCTGTCCTTTTCAGGTGACAGCCCCAGAGCCAGGAGGAGACAGAACGATGACATTAGAAATTAAATGAAAGGAATGAGCCCCGCTCTGGACACCTCTGTTCTCCCAATGAAGATCGCTTCTGATCAACAGATGCCAGTGGCATAATCACCCTTGAATCCAAATCCAAATGTGCTCATTTCTCTAGTTGATTTTAGTAATTCAAATAAAGCATCTTTTGAAAGACAGCATCTGCAAGTTCTGTGTCCGGGCAGAGGGCAATAAATGACCTGTCCGTTTCCCTGGGGTGAGGATGACAGTGTGATGGCTTTTGCTTCTGATGCATATTGGGAATTTCCCAATGAACATGGCTTATTGGAAGGGTTATAAAGCCTCATGCTTCAGGGTTGAAGATGATCACTCTTAGTGGTCAGGAAGGGAACATCACGGGAGACAGATGACCCCACATTTCTCCAGTGCTTTCTCTGAAGCTTGTCATGCTTCCATTGCCGGAGATACTGAACTAGACAGAGCTTGGGTCTGGCCTGGCCTGGCCAGTTTTATGTTCATGGTCGATGCATTGGAGGGAAATGACTCAAAATGACCAGTGGAAATGGCTCCATGTTCTTTGTGAGGTTGGGTGAAGTCATGGCTCCATTGACATCAATGGCAAAGCTCTGGTCAAGTTTTCACCTCTTATTTCGAACATGACAATAACACATAATCTGAGTTTTCAGCAGTGCTCAGGTCCTGTCATGAATCTTTAGGTGCCTTAACTGATCATTTCCGTGCCTGCAAATGGCAAAGGGGCCAGATCCCCGGCTGGCCTCAGTGGATGTGGGTCAGTATTTAAATGATGGAGTGTTGCCAACTTGACTGCAGTAATGGAACAGCACCCATTGACACCAACTGGGGATCTGGCCCTATTGACTCCAATGCAGCTGCAGCTGGTTTAAGTTCAAATGTTCATAGATCCCATAGATTCGAAGGCCAGAAGGGGCCATTATGATCATCTAGTCCAACCTCCGGTATAACACAGGCCAGAGAACTTCCCCGAAACAATTCCTGT